TCGTTATTTCATCAAAATGTTGTGATTCATCATCAAAAACATTTATTCGTACTATTAAGTGTAAGTCGTGATTCAATCTTGTCCAGTTTCATTGATGTCAAGCAAAATTGATAAACATAATCCATATTTATCGATGTCACGTCATTTTGCGATCACCAGTCATCGAAACTTCATCAATCGAACCTTCACCAATATCAAAAAACAGATAGCAATCGAAAGTGCATCAACATAACCATATATTTGAAGATTTTTTTTAAAATCGCTTTTCAGGCTTGAAAAACTTCTTTTTTCATAAAAAATTTCACAATTTTTGATCTAAACCTACTTATTATTGATCAATTTTGATAGGATTTGATTTGTGTTGTAATTATTGGCTTCAATTGTTAATTTTTTACCATAATTATATAAGTTAATTTATTTGCACGCCAACTGTTCGATGAAATGCATAAACTAAATATATCACGTAATATTCACAAGTGAATATGCCTTTACACGAGAATCAATGTATGTCTTTTAAAAATACAGAGTAACTATGTAATTCACATATGAATAACATATAAAATTATATATTTGTTTTGTGTTTTAATAATCATATACTGATTAAGGTGCGAAAACATATTCATATGTGAATATAACGTGGTAATTTAGTTTATGCATTTCATCAAACAGTTGGAGTTCATACAAGTAAGCTTTTTTAAAAATGCTAAAAATATGATACTTTGACCATTTAAAACTTACAAAATAGTAGATTGATAGAGAATTATATGAAATTTTTCAAAAAAAAATGATTTGATGTTTTTCTAACCTTAATTTCGAAGTTTTGTTTGATGATCGATGTTGAATGAATGATATGAAGTGAAACTGTTGTTGATTATCGATGATGTTGATCTAATGACACTAGGAGTATAATTAATCGTAGATGTTGAAGATATGCTCGTATTCAAGCAAAATTGAAGGTTGGATTGAAAGAACCAAAAACGAATTTTTTTTGTCTACTATTGAATGACGTTGATGAACGTGTTTTTGACGAAGATGGATGATTAATTAACACTGGATGATGTTGATCGAGGATTTAATTGAAGAAATCTGGATAATCGTTGAAGGTTGGAGAAGAAATTTGGATGATGAACAATCGAGTAGTAATGAATTTGAATTGTTATCAAAGTATCCACAGTTACGTATCTGTGATTAAAGGATATCATATCGTATTTACAAGTTTGTCACCGTGTATTTTATGTTAAGATGCTAATTAAATGATTGGCTGAGAATGATTCCCCTATTCTCAACCTTTTTTATGATTTTTAGGGTTTTTTTGTTTTCCATATATATATATATATATATATATATATATATATATATATATATATATATATATATATATATATATATATATATATAGGTTTAGGTTCTATGGAAAACAAAAAAACCCTAAAAAACCCTAAAAATCATAAAAATGCATAAAAAATACTTAGAGATCACAAAAAATATTTTTGAATTTTTTTTATAAAAAATCGCAGGTTTTTGTTAAAGTTCGCTGAAAAAAAAAATCAATTTTTTTTTTTTTTTTTGTAAAAAAAAAAAAATTTCAAAATTTTTTCACCGATTTTGTATAAAAAGCTACGATTTTTTCAAAAAAAAGTTTTGTGATCTCCAAGTATTTTTTTTATGCATTTTTATGATTTTTAGGGTTTTTTTGTTTTCCAAATAACCTTTCCCTATATATATATATATATATATATATATATATATATATATATATATATATATATATATATATATATATCACTCCTTTTCTTTCTTTTTTGATTGATTCCAAAACAATATTTCTAAAAATGATAGTAGAAAAGGAAAATTAAATGTGATCCCATAGTCCAACAACTCCACTAGATTTAAAGGTGTACTATCGAGCATAGTACACATATTCTTTCCGCATTCAATATTTTTGAGACTTGAGAATGTAATGGCACTATCGAGCATAGTGCATTGGGTATATGGGATTCGGCAAACCGCAAACATAATCACACGTCTCCCTAATATCCTACCTATATCATATTAAAATTTTGTAAGATAATAGATATTACAGTTACTAATTTTTTATTTTTTCTCCATATAATATTGTTAGTGTTTTTAATACATTGTATAGATTTTATAATGCAATGTTAACGATGTAACCTAATCTATTAAAAGAAATTAAATATTATTTTATCTTTTGTTCATATCCATCTTGTTACTTATATAAAATAATGATATATGGAATCCATTAATTTTCTCTCTTAATCCATATCTTGATTTTGACACTTGACTTAGTAGGAAAATAATTAGGCTATTAGGATTGGTCAGCACTTGACCACTTCAAAAATACATCCACGTCATTGCCACATCACTACCACTTCCTCATCACAACCTTAGGCTACTAGGTATGGGAGGGAAACGTTGCGGAGGAGGCTGAGTTGGACTCCTTCCATATCGTTGAGTTGCTTGGAACACTGCCCTGACCTAACGCCTCATAGCAACACTTAGAGGCTCAGCGCAAGGCAACACACCATTCTCTCTTTCTTCCTTTGATTTTCTTCTTTCTTGGCCTCACGATCTCTCGGCTCATGGACTAACACCATCCCCATCTAGGAGTATGTGGATTAAGTTTTTTGTTCAGATTATATATACAAATATGTTGACTCTTCTCTTTTATTATCATGTTATGTAAAATTAGCACAACATACATTACATTCCTTAGCCTTTCCACGTCCCATGATCGAGTATTTAAATACGTGTCATTTCTCCTTTATGACTCCAAAAGCATGTTCTACATCCTTCCTTGCCGCTTGTTGTGTTGTTCTAAACAATTTTCTTTTTTAATTTTGTGGATATGTATAAGATTTGACAGATATAACGTACTTCAAATATATCTCATCACCAAGATAATAATCATACGTATACTTATTTTTATTCACAATAAAAGGTAACTTGTGTGCTTTGCCATGTAATATTTTGTTGAATGTCGATGATGCACAAAGAACATTCAATTCGTTATTTAACCCCGACATACCGAAGTATGCATACCAAAAACATAGATCTTGTGACACAACTGCCTCTAGCATTATTGTAGGATATCCATGATCTCCGTATGTGTGTTGACCTCGTCATGCATTCAAACAATTTCCCCACGTCCAATGCATAAAATCAATGTTTCCAAAAATTCCTTAGAAACATTGTTTATCGTTATGTGTTGCATATAGATGATCAATATCACTTCTTGTTAAATATCGCAAATATATGTCACCATAAAGCACTAGCACGTATTCACAAAATAAATATGTATATTCTCATGTTGATCTCTTAGACTTCTTCACATATCCATTTATTGCCTCCGTCGTGATGTCGTATGCCAAATGTCAAAGTGTCGTCGTACACTTTTATAATGTAATAAACCCTTGTCTACCTCTAACATCTCATTTCAATTGAAGAATCTCATAATTATCTTTCAAATCGTTAGCTATACACATAAATAAATTTCTACTCAAAAGATAACGACGTTTGAATGCATTGTTATCGTACAAAAAATCATGTGCAAAATAGTCATGTACAAGACATTTGTTTGTAACTTCACAATCCTTATTTAGATATCTTCTACTTCTCTTGAGGGCATTCTAACTTTCACCTAGTGCATTGAACATTGTAGTAGTCACTTGAAGGAATGCGTTGAAAAAAAAAACATCGTCTTCATCCAAAGATGATGATGAATTATTTCTATAATTGAATTGTGTGTGTATAAAATATTTAGTAAAAAGAGTGAATTTTATGAAAGTGGTATATGGTATTTATAGTATTTGTAAAGATTAAAAAAACAAAAAGAATATTATTTAAACAGTCAAATGACCTTGCCTCCGTCAACAGCCGTAGTTCGTACTTCGGCCGGCCACAGTAACACCGACAACGCCATCCTTGGGTTGGTGTTTACTCCGATAGCACGCATATCACGATTCCAGAAGGTCTTGGAAATAAAAAGTAGAAATATATTTGATTTCTCATCTATTAAACATATATACGTCATGTTCAAACTTCTAGTGTTTTCTATTAAACATATAAACGTCATGTTCAAACTTCAAGAGTTTTCTATAAGTGTCTACTTATTTTTCCAATATGGATATGTTTTAAATTTTTTTCTTAATGTAAAAAATAGATGTGAAACTTTTGAAAACAACATACCATCTTCCCTTTGAGCGACTTGGTCACAAAGAATCGACGCCTGAGAAAATAATACTAGTATTATTTTATATGTAGTTGCTCAAATGTAGGTACTAAACTTAAAACCCTAAATCGAAACTTTGCAAGAAATTGGTTAAAGACAACTATGAAGTTAGTTTGAAATATTACTTTTATCTTATGTTTATTATGGATGTCGAAGTCGAGCCCATAAAATGATAAATTTTGATTCGCTTATATACGATTCTAAATTTCTAATGCAAACAAAGCTTAATAAAACGTATACAAAAATATCATGTTTTATTTGTATGTACCTAAATTAAATAGGTCGAATTTAGAAAACTATATAACTTCAATTATAATACAATTAAGCAAGTATAAACTAGTGCGCATTCAACTTGTTATCCAATATTATTTGCTTAAAGTATTTTTGGGTTTACCAAGATTATTAGCAAGATGTAAAAATCTAATTTGTATAGCACTCAAACGAAACAACATCTTCAACTAAGTTAGTAAATTATTCAACTGAAACAAGCTCTTCTATTGGAACTAATACTAATCAACTACACAATTCTCAAACAAGCTATCAGTAATAGTGTGTGAATTACATTACCATTCTAGCACTTTTAATAAGCAGTCCCAAACACCCCTTAGCTATATATGACTATTATAATAACAATCTAATTTAATAACTTAACAAAGTTGAGAATAGAACAAACCATCAAACTGTATCTCAATGGACTAATGATTACATGGAGTTGAAAAGAATTTGACATCGAGCAAAGGATACAACATTTGCGTCCATGGGACCCAAAAAAAAAAAAAAAAAAATCTTATTTTGGCACGTTAGATTTGGCCATTCCAATCAATGTAACAACCCCAACTGCAAGGAATATCCACCCAAATATATCATACTTTAAATCACTGCTCTTCTTCTTTGAGGATTTCTACAACACATAACAACAATCAAAACATTAGCCAAAAATAAAATAACACTTTGATATTATTTATTTGGGTTATGAATGGTTAATTTGATACAACCTTTGAATTTGAAAATGTAGTGGTAGTAGTAGTAGATGTAGATCCTCCACCCAAAGACTGTTGAGATTGACTAAATCCTCCTTGTTTGTGGATCTCATTGTGCAGATCAGATGCCTGGAAACATTATAAAAAATTATTAATGAAACGAAATATAAAAAGAATTCCTAAAATGTATTTAGAAATACCTTAGAAGAGTTTGCCAAAGATTGAAGATAATGTTCATTTCCTGGACACTGAGACAACAAGTGCGATCATAAACATTCAAAATTAGATCTAAAAACCAATTGATATTTCTGAGATTAATCGATTATGTTTATGAAAAAAATCAAAGGGAGGATTTAAGAAACCTCGTCTACTGCCTTTTGGAAGAATTCAGCTGCAAGATCGAATTGAATCTGAGCTTCATCATGATCAGGGGTTAGAAATCCTTGAGTGGTGTAGGCATTTCCTAAGCACCATAGAGCCTCATGTTTTGCAGGATTGATGGATAGAGCTTCATCCAGCTTTGAAACAGCATCTGAATTTGTTTATCAAATTCTTAATAATTGATAAATTGATTATTGTTGTGTTCATGTGAAATTCTGCATACAGTACCTTTGATCATCTTCTTTGATTCGTTGATGTCTCCAAATTGGGATAATTCCAGTAGCACTCCACCCCATTTTGTCAAATTCTGTTATCATTACAACAAGTCATATTGTTGTTTCTCGGATCTAATATTCCAACAACTGAATCGATTTTATTAAATTTATATGCTTTGATTGTTGTTTGAATGTTTAAAATTTTATTTGAAGAATAATTAAATACCATACTGAATCAAATCTTTTGTCACTCATCTATATCAGTTAATAAATATAAAGGCTTGAAGAACATCACTTAAAAGAAAGTGATGCTTTTAAAATTTTAAGATAGTGTATACTAAAGGGTTAACATTGGTATAAACCAATTCATTATCTGTAAATTTAATTTTGAAGTTCGGATGGCTATGAGCAAACATGTAAAAATATCATTTTACTTCCAGCATAATAATGACAGCTAAAACTTAATTCTTTTTAGCTTTCTTTCCCTTAATTTTAAAACCAGAGAACAGGGTGTAATCGAGAAACGAACTTATCGACATAAATTATACACATATAAGTAATTAAGCAAACTATAAGATTAATAACAGAAACAACATATCAAATAGAAACAACTGATAAATGAATTTAGTAATGAAGAAACTTACATCGACATCGTTAGGGTTCTTGGCGTATGCAGCTTCTGCGGTGATACGAGCATGTTCAAAGATCATGAGTCGTTCTAAATCATTTTGAGTTGGTTCCATCGTTATGGAATAATTTATGGATGGATCCCTGTTTCGATGATTAAAACTGACTAGGGTTTATGTATTTATGAAGAAGACGAAACTGTGGAGAAGTAGAGGGTTTAACTTATATGTCTACGTGTGTTGTCTTTCCGTTTCATACGTGATCGGGCCGGCAGTATCCAAGGCCCATCAAAGTTTAAGGTTTATCTTATCCAATAGTTTGAATAACTTTAAAATAAATATTAATAGAGAAATTAAATATCATCATCCTTTTGTTTCTACTTTTTTTTTCATACCTATTTAAATGATAACAACTATATAAATTCAAAATCTCAATAAAATTTAAATTAAATTTAATAACACTTCTCACCATCTAAAATAGGTAGGAGGATATTATAAACAAAAAATAGGAGGCTATTTAATTTCTCATATTAATATTATCATAAAGAACACAAACCAAAACTACGGTTGTTCACTATTCGGATAAAACTGAATTATCTAATTGGGCAATTTGGATTGGACTATTTGGTTCGGATATTCGGATTTTTGGATTAGATTTCACCAAAACCGAATTATTATTTTGGATTTCGGATTGGTCTTCGTTTATAAAATAAGAACCGAATAATATGGGTGGGAATCAGTTCGGTTTTTTAGTTTTTTCGGTTTCCTCGAATCGGTTTCTGCGGATTGAAATATTTTTTTGTCCAACTCGAAAACCGAACCAAATCGAATTCAAATTCTCTAGACCAAACTGAAAACCAAATTCTAATTCGGTTTGGTTCGGTTTGAAAACCGAGGAAACCAAATATTAACTTAAAAAAAATTCAAACATAAATTAAAATATTTTTAACATAGAAACCTAAAGTTGCAAACAGAAAGATCTAAAGTTTCATACGAAATGATCAAGAGAGTAAATGGGTTAAAATGATTTCTAGTTTATAATTAATACTTTTATTTAATATAAAATATAAAATATATTTTTTAATTAATTGATTTATGAAATTCGGTTTTTCGGTTCGGCTTGATTTAAACTTCATGAGACCGAAACTCGAACCAAAAACCAAATTTACAATTCGGTTTGGTCTCAAACCAAACCAAAAACCGAATTTGAATATGGTTCGGTCTGAAATCGATTTCAGTTCGATTTGGTTTTCGGGTTTTTTGGTTCCGACCAAATAATTTCCACCCCTACCGAATAGTCCAAAAAAACCGAATAACAATTTATTATTTATTTATTTTTAATATATCTATAACTATTTAATAATTTTATAAATTACTTTGTTCAAAAAAGTTCAAAATGTTTCACCTAATAAAAAAAATTAATATGCATTTTCTCTCAAAAGTGTTTTACCTATTAAATATTAAATTATAATATAACTTCATGGTAGTTGTTTATAAATTATAAATTACAACTAAATAATTTGTTTTTGCTTCTTTTATAAGAATTGGATAATATTATAATTATATATCATTTTAAAATGTTATGCCTTTTGAAAACCGAATTATAAAAACCGATCCAACCGAACTGTAATTGGATCGGATCGGATCGGATTTGAATTTAGTTTGGACAATTCGGATCGATATTTTGAAAACCGAAATCAATTTGGATTTACTTAATTGGATCGGATCAAACCGATCCATCCAAACGAACACCCCTAACCAAAACAAATAATTTTGGAGATATATTTTAACATGATGTTATGTAAAATATGTAAAACATGCACTTAATTATATTTGATAATAACAAACTAACAAAGTCAATTCTAATTATCATATAAAAATGATAAATTCATAATATCTATTAATTCTGTCATTATTTTTCTTAAAAAAGTAGTAATTTCAATTCTTAAAAAGTAGTAAATACAATAGCATGCACCTTTTGAAGTTTTATGTAGCAATATATTTTTTTAGAACATCAAGATCACATCACATATTTATTCTAATAAATAAAAGTTTTTTTTGTCATTTGTTACATTTTTATTAAATTGATCAACTCTCATTTTGTGGTTATTTTGAATTAATTTTTTTCACATGTCATTTTATGAGTTTTCTATTTTATTAAATTTCACATAATATTTTAATATAATAATTGCAATAAATATAATAATAAATGGATATCAATTTATTAATGAACTTACCTTTTAATTTCAAAATTTTCAAATTAAAGTTCATTCGTTTCTTTTGTTTATTTATTTAAATTATTTGTTTAAATTTAAAAGATAAAAAAACATTTCAGTTATAATAATTAATTATTTTTTCTTATAAATTCAAAGTTCTCAAATATTTTGACATTTATATTTAATTTTTTTTTAAATTAACTCATGTAATACATGAGTCTCACAACTAGTACCTAATTATATATCAAAATGCTCGGATGTGATAAATTATTAAATTGGAAATTGGATTGTTGGGGCTAATTAACATAGATAAAGTTTCTAATAAATGTAAAAATATTAGATTGTGTTGAATTAACTTCAAAACTTTTTTATTTAAACTTATAATATATTTAATTAAACTAATTTATATCTCGTGGGAACTACGGTTACAAAAATAGTTAAATTTTTATAATAAAAAATCATAATTATTAATCAATTATTTTCAATAAATTATTAATTAAACATAATTTTATAGGATTTTCAATATAGAAATACAAGTAATTATCGGCAATCATAACCGAAACTATTCAAGACGAATTTAAATTTCACCTAAAAACTAGAGATCAAATAAATAACTATCTAACTTATTATCAACATCAATACTTTTTAAAAAATAAAAAATGATGAGAAAATGACAAGTGTCTTTTTTATAGAGCATTTGAAAAAAAAAACATAAATTATGAGAAAATGATAAGTGACACTAATAACTGTTCTTTTATTAGTGTAGAAAGATATGACTATAAATTTATATAATTAAATAGCATAGAGATTTATTTAATAGAGTAAATTATAGTTTTGGTCATTATGGTTTACACCGATTTATATTTTTAATCAAACTTTTTGATTTTTGACAATGATTGTAACGTCCCAAAATTTATAACCAAAAATTTTATTTTTGTATTAATAAAACCATCAACCAAACATGTTTATAAAAATAATAAGTGAAATCAGAGTATGTTAACATTCATCCAAAAATAAATCAGAGTCAAATAAAGCGGAAATCATGGTGTGTGTGTGTGAGAGAGAGAGAGAGAGAGATGCGATCATCCAGATCTCTTCCCCTTCGAACAGAAAATACCTAAAACATAAACTAAAAACCGTAAAAACAAAGCTTAGTGAGTTCCCTAAAATACCGCATATCATACATATACGTCAGCTCAGGGCTGTAACGGGTCTATTTCACCCATGGGTCTATTTCACCTCCGAGTCTATTTCAACTCATATGTCAGCTTAAGGCTGTACCGAGTCTATTTCGCTCTCAGGTCTATTTCACCCCCGAGTCTATTTCAACTCAATCGTTATTTCAACCGTACGGGTCAATTTCACCCCGGGTCTATTTCACCTCACATACATATAGTAAACAGGCATACAAACATACAACAATAGTCACAAAGACAACTAGCACATCTAACCCTAGTATCCTACATTATAGTGAGCAAACTCACCTCGATCCGCTGATAAACAAATAGATGCTCGGGCTGCTGAACCAGAGAATCCACGTACTAATCAATCAAATAATACCCTTATTAATAATTGGGTCATAAATCATAACCGTGACACTAATTCATTAAATCCGACTCCTTAGGGTAAAAAGGTCATTTTACCCTTTCCCCTAATCGGCCCAAATAACCATGGCTCAAACCCAAAAGCACCCGAAGCCTAAAATGGCCCAAAAACCTCTAAACCCATAACTGGGAGTACATCGGGTGTACCTAACTCGTACGCCCCATGTACTCACCCATAACCAAGTTACGGGGTTCAAACCCAGTACTCATAACGTACATAGAAGTATGCCCGACGTACTGGTCTGAGAACCAACCCTCCAATGGATGGCTTAAACCCTTAAGACCCTTAGGTATAGACTTCATATCTACTCCAACTCAAGGTCTCAATCCATAAAGTCAGAAGCTTTAAGCTTATGCATGGCTTAAAAAGCCCCAAAACCCAACTTTAACACTTTAACCTCATAAAATGAGCATCAACCTTTGCATGGTTGAGTTAAACCCATAAAGCCACCATTTTTATGCACAAGGGACCTCAGAAACACTAAGATCTAACATCCTAAGCTTTTGGAGTAGCTTATACTCACAAAAACAACTCAAGGGACCAAGATATGCCCAAAAACTCCAAGTTTTCTAGATCTAAGAAAAAAATCACCAGGCTAGGAACTGTATACCTTCTAGAGGATGGTGAATATGAATATATTTTGGATCCACAAGATTCAATCCAACCAATGATCCTTCTCCAAGCTTCTTCTTACCAAAATCTCATAAAAATGCTCAAGAGGCTCAGGATATTCATAAATAGGGCTAGGGTTCGAGATTGCAGGTTGAGGAGAATGGAGGTTGGATATGGGGAGGGTTCCAAGAGATAATGATGCTTAAATAGGTTCCAACCGAAAGAATTAGGGTTTTTCTCTTACGAGCATACGCCCAACGTACCTACAAGTATGCCTAGCGTACTAGCATGATCATGCGACCTTCTATAGTCAGTACACCCAACATACTACCTGGTGTACGCCCAACGTACTGGATAAAGTCATGGTTTTCATTTAAACTTCAAAAAGCCATAACTTCTTCATTCCAACTTTGATTTTGGCGTTCTTTATATGCTCAGAAAGGTAATAAGAAGCCCTACACTCCTAACCTTCCAAACTTAAATTTGTAATTCATGAAAGGTCTGAACCATCACTTTTACCATTATACCCTTGGGCTCCAAAGCACAAACTGAACTCTTGGATCACTTAACCTACATTACCCACATCCAAATAGGTCTAAACCTCTATTTCCTCAAAGACTAAAGCCTTATGATAATTGATCTTCGAGTCACGGCCCCCAATTGGGAAACGACTCGAAACAGGGTGTTACAATGATTATCCTTATGCATTCCAAAACTTGCACTTATGTTTTATAAGGTTGTTACCATCTAAAATGATCTGGTAAATGCATATAAATGAAAACT